AATGTTGGTTAAGTGTTGGTTGGTTGATGTGGTTGGGGGCTTTTAATGATGTTGCTCCTCTGTAAATTGTTGCTTGTAATGATGTATAATGATGATTGAACCAATAAAATTATGGTGATGTATAATTTTGTAACTTAGTGAAAATTGGTGGAAAATGATGAAATGGTTGGTTGTGATCATGAAGGTGATGGTTGAGAATTAGTGATTGGTTGTTGGTATGAATAAATAGTAGGATGAGATGATGAGTTGACGTGTTAGTGAATAATTAGGGATGGGTGAGTAAGTTGTAGAGCAATGTGATTGAGATAGGTAACCTTAATGTTGTGGGCCATTGGGTCTAGGGGATGGTGTTGAATTATATTATTGTGAAATTGATGAATTGTTTGCATATGTTTGATGGTCATTGTGTTGATCATATAGGTTGCCTCACACGGACGCGATAGAAACGGACTAAGCTTGGAGCTTACGTGTGGAACATTGCTCTTGTATTTGGATTTTGTGCCTTTGGACATTGTGTGAATATGTATGTTCATGCATTATTGCTTGATTGTGACATGCTTGGAGCATGTTGTGTGTGAATTGTTTGATCTCTGGCCAGTAGATGTGCGTTGGTTTGGACTTCCGCTGGAGATATCCTTTGGGGATTTTGGTCGGGTTTTGCCGTGGGGCCGACTCTGGGAGCGGTACCAGGATGATCCAAACATGGGACTTCTGCTGGATAGGGCTCATGAGGAGTTCCAGTTGGGTTTTGCCATGGGGTCGTCTCATCCGTGGGAGAGGCACCAGGAAGCTTCCCGAGAGTTATATGATGGGGTCCTTGAACGTAATCCTTATGTGGATGTTCTTGGATTTGTGCCCAGTTGTTGTGATTTTGTATGTCATGCACTTTTACATGATGTTATTGTTGCACATTGAGTGAGCCATGGGGTGGAGTGATCCTCTAGTACCCTTGGTTTACTGAGATATATTTGTATATCTCACCCCGCGTTTGGGGACATCATTTCAGGTTCAAGTGAGCACGTTGGAGCTTCGGGCAAGAAGCCCACCTAGTGGGAGATAGAGTTGATGCATGAGATTCATATGTCATTTTGAGAGATTCCTATATTTTGTTGACATTTATTGTGTAGAGGACTTAGTATATGAACATGGTATTGCATGTAGGTGTATTTACCATGCTTTTGTTGGTCATATGTAATCCTAAGTCCATTGATTATTAGTTGTATTTCGGAATCCAATTGTATATGCCTCACTTTATCATTTTGGATGTGGGTGAGCATGGGGAATGTCCATGCCACTTAGATTATGCTTAAAAATTAGTTGTTGTAAAGAATATTTTGTGGAGGTTTATAATTGATGGAAGGATCAATGACATATTGAATGGATTGAAGTATGATGTGATGTAAGAATGTCTATTAGGTGTTAAGAGAATGGGGAAAAGGGGAGGAATTTCCTCAAGAAATTATATGAAAACAGGGGAGGCATGTTTTGCCCAGCTGGATAGCGTTTTAGCGCTGAAATGGGCGTTAAAACGCACTATGTTCGTAGAATGGAGGAAAAGTCTCTACCCTTGGACGTTTTAACGCGAAAATGGGCGTTAAAACGCTAAAGTGGGCGTTTTAACGCTCAAGTTGGGCGCCAAAACGCTCTGGAGACCTGGAGAAGGCAAATTTTCTGCCTCTGGGCGTTTTAGCGCTCAGTTGGGCGCCAAAATTCTCAACCCAAAAAATTAGCAAAAACTTAGTTTAGTAAAACTGGCATAACTCGAGCTACAGAGCTCCGATTTGTGCGCGGTTTGAAACCACGCGTAGCTAACAAAGAGAGCTATAACATAGTAAGAGATGAGAGTCAAAGATAAGTTTTAAATTAATTGGGTAATAAGAAAGACAGTGAATACCGGTATTAAACATGAACAAAATAAGTTTTAAGCTTTGTTGGTTTATGGGAACCACTTAGCATCTTTAAAAGTAAGTTGCATGGTATTAAGCTATGTCTTTCATAATTCCGCAATAAGTTTTGAGTTATGATCACAGTTATTTTAAAGGTACAAACGATATTAAAAAGAAAAAGTTTTCCCGTAATTACAAATAACTACTGTGATTGTAATTGCGCTTAATATCATATGTGATGATAACACACCGGTCTGGTAACGGGGTGTTACACCTGGACACTGTTGAAGCATGGGAAAATTTAGAATTACGATCCCCATACCTGAACCAATTTGCACGAGACCTCTGAAACCTATGTAGCACCGATACGACACGCGACACGTGACACGACACGACACGACACTCCGACACGTCAATCCTAAAAATTTATGGATTTCGACACGTTGGGACACGTTTTAATATTAAATAATATTTTTAATTTATATAGTGTATATTTCATTTAATATTTAATAATTTAACAAAAAAAAATGAAACTAAATTAATAATACCCATCAACACGTTATAAAGATGGAAGCTTTAATAAAAAAAATAAGAATTGGGATGAGAGAGAGATATAATATCAGATAGAGAGATCAAATCATATTAGAGAGATCAGAGAGAAGAAGATACAACAAGAGCGTGATAGGAATTGACAACAATTATGCTGAGATGATCTCTTATCTACTTAAGGGGAAAAAAGAAAAAAAGAAAAAATTGATCAGGTGGAAGCTTTATTAATATATTTTAACTTTTAAAAAAAATTAAAAAAAAAAAATTTAAAAAAAAATTAAAAAAAATTTAAAAAAAAATAAAAAAAAATTACGAAAATGCCATTTGACCGTGTCGGACACGGTCAAATTCGCGTGTCGGAATGGTCAACGTGTCGGAAAAAGTCAACCGCGTGTCCGACACCGTGTCGGAGCGTGTCGGAGCGTGTCGCCGTGTCGGAGCGTGTCGGACCCGACTCTTCCTGTTTTTACAAGTGTCCGTGCTTCCTTGTCTGAAACCAAGTAAGTTCCTCTCTAAGATAAATAATATTGAGCTGACTCCAAAGATCCTTCTGCAGATTTTCAAGAGCATGAGATTTATGGTGACTGAGACAACGATCAATTCCACTGATACGAGCATGGAGCTTCCTTTTTCACTTAGCTTCTTCCATAAAATAGTCTTGATGCCATTTTGATGCCTTGTCACGAAACAAATTACTAGAAGGTCCCCTCTTGCCAAGTGTTCTGAACTAACTCAGGGAACTTATCATGAGTAAGCCAAGCAGCCAAAAATCTGAATGGAAGAAACCCATTCTCGTTATGAAGATCCCATAAGAAAATAGGACGATGATCCGAGTAGAAGAATAGAAGATAAGAAACCACTCTGGCAAAAAGACAAATTCCAGCTTTCATTAGCACACATACGATCCAACCGCTCAGAAAGATTACCCCTACGCCATGTCATGGTAGGGCCTTGGTGACCTAGATCTGTCAAGTGACAGGATGTAAGACATTCCTGGAAATCCAGCATACTCCTCCAGTTAGGTTCTCCACCTCCATCCTTTTCAAACGCATGCGTGTATGAATTAAAGTCTCCCATGAAGCACCAGGCCTTCTCCTAATTTGGTTGAATCAAATCCAAAGATTCCTAAAGAAGAATGCGCTCCTGCTGGCGAGGACTACCGTAACAGAAAGTCACCAACTCTTCTTTATTTCCACCCCTCCAGATAAGATTAGAATGAACATACTAGTGATTGGTGTGAAGAACCTGCACATGAACATCCGAAGAATTCCATAACAGCCAAATCCCTCCTGAAAAACCAATAGGGTCAGAAATGAAAAAAGTTTGAGAACCCTAAAGACTTAGCTACTTTACGAGCTCGGTGACGGGTCTCAAGGAGAGCCAAAACAAGTTAGTGGGATTTTAATTAAGTTGTTTCCCACTAAACTATTTTTTCATTTAAATTTTGAATTTCAAAATTTCAAAAGTTACTAAAACATGAACTATTTCAAATTGGTTTAGGTGTGAATATAAACCCGAGATTGAAGGAGAGTGTGACAAGTTATCAAAGTTTCCAACAAACGATTTTCCTTTAGGATATATTAGATTAGATATGTTAAAAGTTACAAAAATGACAGAAAAGACTAAAAATAAAAAAATAAATAAAAATAGTCTAAATCAAAAAGAAGAAAATAAAATAAGAACAAAAAAATAATAATAAAACAAAATATATTGAAAAGTTACAAAGTGACAGGAAAGACTAAAAGTAAAAAAAAAATAGTCTAAATAAAAAAGAAGATAGTAGACTAAAGACAAAAAAGAAATAGAAGGAAAAATAAGACTTAAAAGAAATAGAGGAAAAGGAAATCAGCTTTATAAGTTTTCAACATATTTATTCTTATTTTTCTTAATTTTTTTTTCTTTTTGATTTATACATGTTTTCCTTTTTCTTCTTTTATTTTAATTTTATTCACTTTTTGTCTTTTCTATTACTATTAAAAGATTTAGAAGAAAAGATAATAGAAAAAGGAAGACAGAAAAAAAATTAGTGGTACAATTTACAACATATTTGATATTTTTTTTTTGTTTTGATTTTATTTTCCTCTTTTGGATTAGACATATTTGGTCTTTTTTTTTTTTGTTTTCAATCTATTTTTTTATTTAACCTATTTTTTATTTTTTTACTCTTAATCTTTTCTGTTATTATTGTAAGTTTTCAATATATTTAATCTTATTTTTTATTTTACTTTTTCGTCCTTAGTTTATTTTCTTTAATTTAGACATATTTAATTTTTTTCTTCTATTTTTTTTTAACATTTAGTCTTTTCCATAAATGTTGTAAGTTTGTAATGTATTTTTTTTTTTTTTTTCTTTAAGTTTTTAACAGTATTAAGTAACCATGAATGTGGATGAAAAAAATAATGAGAAATGTTTCATAACAAAATCATAGGGTTTTTTTGAATTGTTTTTTTTTGTTTTTAATTTTTTCTCTGCGAAAGAAGGAGGGTATTAATGTAAAAACACATCCATTCAAAAATATAAAAGCACTGCGCTCTTGGCATTCAATTTTCACCATTGCAACGGTATTCTCTATTTTCTTTTCTTTTCTGCATCGTTCTCTGCGACGCTCAAACCTAATCGAAACCAAAACCTCAAATGGTTTCTCTGACGGTAAGGTTTGAACTCCAATTTTTATTATTCTAAAATTTTACTTTTCAATTATCGAACAAAAACCCTAGCCACGTTTAGCATTTAAATTTCGCATAATCCTATGACTCTTGACGAGGTTTGAATTTTTGAATTTTCCGTAACCCTACATAAAAAAATGCTTATTTTGGTGCAATTGGTAACTTTTACATACACACGTTCTATTTCCGTAGATTTTATACACACGTTCTATTTCCGTAGATTTTCCTTCATTCAGCGAAACACAAGGGAAATAAGTTTGTTTTGGCATAGCAATGGTAGCTGCTACTTTTCATATTTGTTTTTGTACATGCTTTTTTTTTTGGTGACATTCTTGTTTGGTTCTTGCGTGTTTCAGGGAAAATCTAGAGTGGGTTCAACTCGAGCCTCTATAGGTGGCCAATCTCGTCCCAGTGGTATATTTTATATTTATATATTCGTTTTAGTTTTCTTTTTATGTTTTTAAATTTTTGCTCTTGTGAATTTGAAGTTTTATAATATATATGAAACAGTGGGTGGTAGGAATTTCAAAGTTTTTTCGGAAAATGACCGGAGTAATGTCGGTGATGGGCTCATGTAAGATATTATTATTATTATTATTATTATTATTTGTTTGATTGACAAGTCCGTAACTGGGTATACGGGAATGTATTTTATATAACTAATTTTGAATCTTTCTTTAGGAAATCTGCAAGAGAAGCAGGTGCAACTTTAAGGTATGGTATATTTTCAGATTTGAAAAGATGTAATTCTGCTCCATGAGTTGTTGGGAGATGGTAAAATTGTGGAAGTAGATTTCTGATTTCTGATTTATTGGTTCTTTGTTCTTATTTTATCAATTGCCTGAAATTATAGGTGAAGCTAACATAGGATGGTTTTGGTTCACTTTAGTTTGCTGTTTTGAGATACTAGATTAGATAAATAATGAAACCCTCCAGCTGCGCTGCTGTAGTAGAAGGGATTTTAGTTTCCTGGGCTTCGAGCATTAAACATTTTCTTTTTAGTTATTGTGGTTCAAATTAAACAGGGTTGTTCCAAGATTGTGTGTTTTATACGACCCATATGAGGTCCGAAGCTGCTTCCTTGTTTTATATCTTTGTATATCGTAGTGGAAATTGTTGCCTTTTTACAAACCATGACAACATACAGCAGGATGGCATTCATTTTCTTTAGATGTTCCATGAATTTCTTGTGTATAAATGACAATGTAGTGATCAATCTATTTATTCTTTCTTCTCATTTTGTAATTTATGTAGGAGTGCTATAGTAGCTAACAAAGGTGTTATTCCGAATAGCTCCAGTAATCCAAAGGTAATGTACATTCTAAACTTCTAATACTTTCTGAATACTCTATAACATCTGTAAATGCTTGGAAAATGTCTATATATTTTGCACCCTTGAGCATGCCATTGCTTACTCACTATGTATAATTATTCTGCAACTTGAATCGTGAAGGGTGGTTTCAAAAGTATGAAGAAAAGTAGTGGCAAATATGGTACTTCTGGTAATGGTAAGTTTTAACTGCACAAATTTCGTTTAAAATTTTGATAAGTATGTTATGAAGCATACTTATCATTTCACTTATTTTGGCTTTTCATAGCAAATTTAAATGTGAGAAAGGCATTGGCTGATGTTAGCAATGTTCAAGGAAACTCTGCAACAGATATTCGGCGCCATAGCTCCAAAATGAAGTAAGAATCTTTTTTATTCTGTGTAGAGAGAACGTTAGAAGGGGAGGTGGTAGTTTTTTATTGTTTTAGTAAAACCTTTGCAAGTTATTTTTGGAATGCGACTTGTTTTATTGTATATAGTTATCGAGAATTTCAATTTTTTTTTAACTTATCAGATGATGTGAAGACAAAATTTTAGTGTCATTCTTTCGTGGGATCTTTCTCTTGGGATATTTTGATAGGTCAGTGGATTATATCTAATGGTAACCTAAACATTTTCCCGTGTGATGGTTTGAATATCTAGAAGATATCTCATAATATCTTTATTGTATGTTACAATATTTTAGAGAACACTTAATGATCTCATCTCTTAGAAGTGGTTTTCATATTTCATTATATTATTATGATTTGTTTCCTTATTTAATTAGTATTAGGAGTCTAGTATTAATATAAATAGGAGTTAGTTTTTTTTATAGTTTGTATCATATTATAGCACATCAAATTAATATCAATTTTTATTTTATTCATTAACTTGTTCTCTCTTTTCCTCCTCTTTTTATAGCCCTCTAATTTCAATATGGTATCAGAGTGGTACCATCCCCTGTGACTTGTATTGTCACTATTCTGCTACCAAGTTCCCCTAAATTTGGAACCCTTGTTTCATCATCCTACCTAAATTCTCAAGAGTCGTCTTTTGTCATTCCCTCTGGACTATATGGTCATAGAGATTCTGACACCATGTTATGATAGCACATGAATGGTTTTATATTCGACAACTTCCATATTTTGTTTGTGATATGGGCCTTCGGCTTTAAAATAAATTCAATCTCTATAGGTACTTGACATAATAGAAATTGGTCATGTGAAGCTTTATCTCAAGCAGAGACTGATGTAATATATTTACATTTTCTTGAATAGGGTAGTATATTAACTTTCTGTCTCTTTATTTCCTCTAATGCTTGCTTCCTTGACTTGATTGACTATTATTTTATTTTATGTCTTATGTGCCTTTCTAGGTTTTCAGCTGGTTCAAGCACTAAAATAGTTGGTGTCTCTTTGAGGAAATCCTTCACAGTATGGAAAGCAGTTACTAAGTCATAAATTTTAGAATTTTTTGTTATGCCGTGTTGTTTCTTGTTTACTTATTAAACTTTAAACTTTACTTGGGCCTATTGTACAAATTTAAAGTACTGATAACTTGCTTAAATTAGGAAAGAGTGCAAACAAATACAAGTCAAGCTCATGTTCAGTTTGATGCTCCCAAAAGAGGTGACTAATTTTCCCTTAGATGTTTTTATCCTATGATTCATATGTTTCGAATAACATATTTAGGTGTTTTTATTGCTTTTGTCAATCAGTTGGCACAAATTTGAGGGCATCTTTAGATGATCAGAAGAATAATACAAATGGAGGTCAATCAGTTGTCACAAATAACAGGTACTTGGGATCCTGTCTCTTGTTTATCTCACATTTAATAGGATATTGAAGTTATTCATGTTTTATATTTATGGTTCGTAGCACTTCGTTGTAGAAATCATAAGATTTTTTTTTCTTTTAGGTTTGCAAGGAAGCCTGTATTACCTACAACTACAAGGTTTGTGGATTTCATTTTGTTGATTCATGTAAGCTTTTTCAATAAATGTGACTGAAACCAGAATATTCATTTGTCTCTTCCAAGCACTTCAAGGAAGTCTTTACCAGTACCAAGGAGGGTTAGCAGGGCAGATATCAGTAACACAAAGGTGATTATAATCTCGTTACAATTTGTCTTCCCTGGTGGTTAATGGCTATACAATATTTTCCCCTCCATATAATTCGGCTTATTCTGATTGCCGGATCTTTATTCTTTTGTATTTTTGGTTTTCAAGATCTTCTTTCTTTTCTCATGTCTGCCCTTATTTTACTTCCTTGTAGGAAAATGCTAGAAGTTCTGAAACAGCAAAAGGGCAAAGTGGTCTCCCCAGTAAGCTGTGACTTCCACAAGCACTCTGCAAATGTCAATGAACTGACTTATGCTATGTTCATTAAACTTAATTTACTGTTGGTTTCAGGTAAGCCAACAGCAGACAGAAGAGCTAGTTCCCAATTAATTAATGCAAGAAGCCTTGTCTGGAAGACTCAAGTGAGTGATGGCTTTGTTCAAATGTAAGTGATAATAAACATTAGTTAGTTCTTGCTGCCTCTTTGTAAATTGTGTACTTCTGGTACATTTTGTCCTGTTGATCTTCAAATAGCAAAAATCTGGAAATTTAGCAAGTAAGCCTATACAATTAAGAGGAGATGTCAAATTGATAGTTATAAATAACCATTTCAACCCAACAACTTAAATTTTTGGATTGAGTGGAATTTTTATATGATATACTAGGCTCCGTGGCCAATTGGTCACGAGTACGATTTTCACCGACCCCGTTCTATTAATAAATAATTAAATATTATGAAATTTCGTAGCACATGTAGGTGGGCTTGTGCACTGTTCATCTTTTAAGTCCAACAAGCTCTTGTGTGAAAGGACTTATTAGAGAAATATAATATAAAACAATTAATGTGACCTTCACCTAATAGCTTAAGCTTTTGGGTTGAGTTAACACCTTTATATTGGTAATGATCCACAGCCCAGCCTTGCATTCAGATGGGCCAAAGAGGAAGCACTTGAAGGGATTAATATTTATGATTACCCCTTAATAAGTAATTCATCCTATTATTCTTCCTGAATAAAGTATAATACATTAGCAATTAAAATTTATAAATTTTTTTATCAAAACAAAAATTTCCAGAATTTGATTCTTCATTTTGCAGAATTTTGTAACACTGTATCAAGAATGTCTTTGCATATCTCTGGAAACAAAGTGCAATGTAAGAGCAGAGTTTTAATGTAGTTCTATTGACCATCCCGACACGAGAATTATCATGGAACAGTGACCTTAGGTGATAGGTTCTATGAATTTTGGGCTTGTTATAACCTCTTTTTGAAATATATACACTGGCATCTTTTAGGTCCCTGATTTTAATCCATATTTCATTTTCTTTCATTTTTGTACTATGTGCCAAAATGTTATATTTTTGTATATTGGTTCTTCTTTAGGTTCTTTTCTTTTTCACTAGAAAAAAGAAATAAACATTTTTTTTATGAATCATTATTATTTTATAATAAGCAAATTATTATTGAGTAAGATCTTAATTAGTTACTATTATTAAATTCTTACTAAATCCACATTAAAATTAACATTAACGACGTGATCTATTATCATTTTTTGTTTGTCCTCACCTCCACATAAATGGCACTTGCGTGGATGCTTGGTGTTTTCAAATTTTAGGTTGATATTAGAAGTGATGATATCAAGTAAGCGATTCTTTTTTTGAATTTGTCATGAGCCAACTATGCTAAAAGTTTAAACTGTTAAGTGAAAACACGTGAATAGTTTTAATAAGCACTGTCGTGTAGTAGTCCTTCGGACTAGAAGCATGGACAATGCACAACCCACCCTACCTTATGCTGAAATTTAACTTTTTTGTTAAGGTAGGGGTCAATAAGGATTTGATACTATCTTATTAAATATGAACTAACTATACCAAAAGCTTAACCTGTTATGTAAAAGGGCATGAATGATTTTATATCTAACAAAATCTTTGAATAAAGGGGAACCTTTGATTTTTTTCAGAGTTCAGAGTTACTAAAAATCTCTGTCATGGCCGAATGCTTGTTTGTATTCATCCGTATCTACTAATTCTCCTTGATTTGCAAGATAAACTTGTCTAATAAGTCTGTCTTGGATTATCCATTGGCAATTCATAGGATGAGATTTCTTGTTACTAATTGCTCATTTTTATGCAATTCATTTGGGATGCAGGGGTCAAACTAACGTTTTACATACTTCCTCAAGGAAGTCCACCAAGGTAATGTTGGCTGTACTTTACAATTTAATGTCTCTAGTTCCTTTATTTGATTGATTGGTGCAGCAATTGTTCTTTGTAATTTCATTCCATTTGATTGCTTATTTTTTAGGCTAGTTTCACATCTGAGCTTATTTTGCATTCCATTTAGAATTTCTTTGCAATGCTTGCATAATTAGTAAGAGTGAACTGTATAATGTAGTTTGCTGAGGTAAGAAAATACAGCAGAAAACCTTAATGTACTTGTTAAGGTGTTGTGCTTAATAGCATGGTTCCTTTAGTGACTATAAGCTACTATCGCGTCAGTCAAATTATTTGCACTGCATTTTTATTTTGTTTCTTCACTTTGAGAGTACTTTTCTAATTACACACGTGGTATGTAAAGTGTGGACCTGATTTTTCGCCTCATTGGTTACAGCCTACTGTAAAGATCACACTCAAGGCTTCTACCACTCAAAGGACTATAAAATCTAAATCAAGATCAGGTCAGATCAAATCAAAACCAAATGCTGCAATGTCATCGAAGGATGAAGAAACAGATTCTTTGTCTCTTCCTGAGAATGGTTTAGCGATAATTTCTGATGATGCAAGTAAAAGGCATCCTCCTTCTGATGGAAAGAGTAACCTGAGAACAGATTTGTCAGACTTCATTCCAAGGAAAAAGTCCACCCGCCGAAAATCTTATACAACTTCATTAATGGAAAGATCTAAGGTTGATGCTCAAAGTATTAAACCACATTTCTTTTTAGTTTCCATATAAATTTAAGTGACAAGTAGCCTTATTTTGCAGTTTCTCAAGGAAAGTGGTGAAGTTAGGGAGCAGGATAACCTACCAAATATAGATAATGAATGCAATCAACTAGAAGTCTCTGAATATATTGATGAGATATATCAGTACTATTGGATTACCGAGGTAATATCATCATGTCTCCAATGTACTGTATCCGGTACTTATTTTTTGGTTGAGTAAGTTTCTTCTTTCATTAATATGCTTGTCTCTTTCTTTTTATTTTCCACCCATTTCATTATAGGCTTTCATAGCTCTATACTAATTGTAGAAATTAGTAAATAATTTTTTATAAAAAAACATTTGAACCTTAAAATTTAAGCTTTTAAGGACTATGCATCTCTTCGAAGTTGCTTGTGTTGAATACAATTTTATGAATTGGCATTCTTTTAACATTGTTGCATTTTTTAGTGGTTGTCAGCTCATGTCATCTCTCTTACTTTGAAATGGGTCTGGATGTCATCTCTTTTAGTGTTTAGTGCGACGGTCATATTTGCATTATGTATTCCTGCATTATGTATTCCCAGGAATACATAATGCAAATATGACCGTCGCACTGTGTTCAGTGCAACGGTGGTACCAAAAATGATCTCCACCTTGACAGTCAATTTAGTCAAAGTCCACAAATTTCCCCCCTAGAAATCCTATGTTGAAGTTCTAGAATTGTGACCATGAATCACCATCTTGTTTTTCTATATCTGCTATTATTTCACTGATTTTGTCACTTCCCCATTGGCATAATCTTGATACCACTAGCTCTCTCTTGTCTATACAGATTTATATTATATTTTATCCTTATTCTCTAATTTCAACAAATTATTGTCTATTTTAAAATTCCTTTCAACTGCAGGCACTTAATCCAGCTTTGACAAATTACATGTCAACTCAGACAGACATCACACCTAATATGCGGGGCATATTGATCAACTGGCTAATTGAAGTAATTAATTGATTTTGTCATCCTTTAGATGGATTTCCTTTTTTGTGTCCTTTCCTTTATCTCTTCCCATATCTATTATTCTACTGATGGTTTATCATAGTCATTTTCTTTGTATATTGTTCTTGGCTATTACAGGTACACTTTAAATTTGATTTGATGCCAGAAACACTGTATCTCACAGTTACATTGTTGGATCAATACCTTTCCCTAGTGACTATCAAAAAGACTGATATGCAGTTAGTCGGTCTTACGGCACTTTTGTTGGCTTCAAAGTATGAGGATTTTTGGCATCCTAGGGTAAGAAGCCATCTTTTTTGAACCTTTTTTTTTTGAAGAGATGGCATGATTTATTGTGATGATTGTAATTTTTTTTTTCTTTTCTCATATTCTAGGTCGAAGATTTAACAAGCATCTCAGCTGAGTCATATACCAGAGATCAAGTGCTTGGAATGGTATGCAGTGCTTATTAAGCATTTCTTATGACACCGCTACTTCTCACTCTTCAGGTTTAAGAGTGTTTTGATACATAATAGCATTATTATGTAAAATGATGAAGGACTTGGGAAATTCATAAAATATACAAATTGGTGAAATTTTCATTCAACTAATACTCAGATTGATCACAAATTTTTATTGTTGAACCAAAAATAGATATAAATGAGGAAGGAAAAAGTACATGGGGTCCAATTGACAAATTCCAAAATCTTGTTAAACAATTCTCTGCTATTGTTTTCTGTTTTTATTTGGACCTGTATATGGTCATCATTCATGGTTCTTATGGTTATATTCTAATGCGTGAAATGGTTTTTCTATGCAGGAGAAGCTTATTCTTAGAAAATTGAAGTTCCGTCTTAATACTCCTACTCCTTACGTTTTTTTGGTGAGGTTTCTCAAGGCTTCACAATCTGATAAGAAGGTAATTCAGCATGCATGGACTAATGTACAAAGTACAATCTCTCAGGCTGGTGACGGTACCAATTTAGTAATGATATTACTTCTAGGCTTGAAGGATGATCAGTTAATTTGGATGAGAAATCAGTCATTCTAGTTGATTGTTGTATGCAGCACAATATGTTTGATTTCTAACCTTTTTTGTTTCTAATTTATTTTTCCCAGCTTGAACACATGGCATTCTTTCTCATTGACCTATGCTTAGTTGAGTATGAAGCTTTAGCATTCAAGTCTTCCTTACTATGTGCATCAGCTCTCTATGTTGCACGTTGTACTCTGCAAAAAACCCCACCATGGACCCCTCTCCTTCACAAGCATGCGCGTTATAAAGTTTCACAGATCAGGCACTTCTTCTATCTTTGACTTCTTCACTTTACAATTTAGGGTAATCTCTGTTTATGCTAACTGCAATATCTGTAGGGATTGTGCGGATATGATATTGAAATTCCATAAAGCTTCCGGGGTGGGAAAGTTAAAGGTTACACATGAAAAGTACTCCAGACAGGAACTCAGTAGGGTTGCAGCAGTGAAACCGTTGGATAGGCTACCCCTGTGATTTCACTTGTGCTATAGTTATACTTCTGTAGAGTATGATATTCTTGTAAACACTTGGAATGTTGTAACCACATTTGTGACCACATATTAATGTGCACTAAGGAACATCTGTTTTCGTTTCGGTTGGTAAATTTCTTGTGGTTGTGGTAAGAAATGAAGATATATTTGAAAAGATGGTATTTATGCTATCAAAGAATAATAGTAGAGACGATGGTATATATGCAGCAAGTGCATGTATCATATAATGATGAGTATTACTCTTAGGAGTGTTACCAATTCTACGTTCATTACTAATTAATCAGTTCCCACCATGATTCAAGCAATCAAAATTTTCAGATTTAAAATTATAGAGAATCAAAAGGCCGATTTAAAGAAACAAGAACGCAATAAGAATTAATGAATAAAAGCCTAGGGTTTAACATCTCTTGCTACTTCACTTGAATCAGTGCATTATTCATTAAAAACATCAATGAATTGTAATTGCTAGTCAAGGCACAATATAAGCCTCATTGGATGCTCATACGAACTTGCTTCACTTAACTAACACATTAAAAGATCATGGAAAACTTTGGGGTCAGCTGCACCAGTCCCTGAGAAGTTCAGCCCTTGCATAATGGCGCTGAAGTTTAATGCTTACTATTAGTATGTTGTTTTACATGAGGCTTGTTTTGATGAAAGATATAAGCTTACTTTGTAGTTTCTAGAAGTGTATATTTGTACGCATACGAAGTCTAGTAAACGGTTTATTTTATTTTTTCATCTAAAGCCCATTTGCCATATAGAGGACTGAACTATTTTAGCTGCTTCTTTTATTGAAATAACTACTAGGTATGTAAAGTGAATGGAGTGGCCGTTAGATTGATGGACACTCATGTAAAGAATGGTAGCCTATTTTCCATTACTTAATGGTAGTGGATGCCTCGGGTTTTTTGGTGGGGGAAACAATGGTTGAATCAGGAGATTAGTATTTACATTGTCTGGTTAGAAATGATAAAGGAGAGTCCTTTCTCCGGACTGCGGTCTATGCTAGTCCACAAGACGAGAAGCACAAAGGATTATGGGATGATCTAAAGAGGATTGGCAGGAGCATAAACCTTCCCCGGGTTCTTCTACTAATTTTAATGAAATTGCATCACGCAATGAAAAAAGAGGTGGTTCACCAGTGGATACCAAGAGGTGCTGCATCTTCATGGAAGTGCTGAATGATTGTGGTGTAATGGATATGGGGGTGCTGGGCCTTTCTTTACATGGAAAGGACCAAAATTCAATCATCTTGAGAGAGTTTATAAGAGACTTGATAGAGTTGTAGCTACAGGGAGTTGTAGAACACTTTTTGCTGAAGCTCAGATCCAGGTGTTGCCAAGAATTCACTCTACCCATAGCCCTATCCTATCCAAATAGAGATGAAAGATCAAAGGAGGAGAGAGAGACTTTTTTGATACGTCTAAGAACCCGCACCGTTAATTAAGGAAGTTAATTAAGTAATTATGAGAAATTAGAAAATAATTCCGTAATTGACCTTAATAATTATGAGAAGGCTTAAATAAATATAGAAAGTGATCATGAATGCTGAAAGTCGCTTTTCGGACGAAAAGTGCAGATACCGGTTCTGCTACTCGATATAAATGCATACCGATGAAGTATCTCGAAAAATTATAATAAGTGTGGGAATATTCCTAAAATAATATGTACGACTAGTAAAACAAGTTTTAGCTCAAAATAATGAGAACTGATGCCAGAACTGATACTGGCTATGGAAAAGCACGTACCAGAAAGGTGCTGCGAAAAATAAAATAAAAATATGAAAAATCCTAGAAAAATGAGTAGCTTTAGAATCCCAAGTTTGAGATTAAAATGCTAAGCGTAGCTATTATTGTTAATACTGTGTGTTTAATTTTAAGTGAGCTATAAATACTCACTTTGGCCCAAAATCCTAGACATTTGTTTATTGCTATGTGAGTGGAGGCTGACCATAATTCCACTGTTCCATTGCCACCTTCTCTTCACCATTCCTTTGCTTTCTCTCCATTGTAGCCCTCTTGAGACCATTGTTCCTCTTGAGTTCTTCATAAGGACTCCTTGTGTGGGTGTGCTTGAACCTTTGGAGAGTGAAAAGTTCTCCATTTCTGAGTGGTAGCCACTGTCATAGGGTGATTTTGGGGCTGAGTTGGTGTGTTCTTGTGGTGAGAGTCTTGTCCTTGACTTTGAAGGCTTCAAGAAGCCATTTTGAAGGGGAAATGTGTAACCTTGTTATTCATTTTCGTGCACCTATAAGGACAGAACCTTAGAGCTGAGTTTGGAGCTCCAAGCTACTTCATTTTCGGAGTTTTAAGACTTGGAAGGTATACCTTGGTCACACTTTGTCTTTTGATGATTTTAAGCTTGTTTAATCGGTTAAAAAGTAAAACTTTGATCAATTGAATAAAGGAATGTGTTTCTGAGTCCCTAACATGCATATGAACATCTGTTTTTGGAGTTCTTGGACTCCAAATCGAGTTTGGATCATTGGAGGTCAATTATACATTTAAAACTCAGTTTTCTGCATTCTGTCGAAGAAGTATTCAAATACTTTTCGGGAAGTATTTGAATACTTTCTGGAAAAATGCAGTAATCGAATACTTCGCGAGAAAACAGCGACATAGTTTAGTAAAATTGCGATATCTTGAGCTACAGTGCTCTAAATTGAGTGAGGTTTAGACCTATGTGAAGCTAACACATAGGTATACAACCTTGTAAATTTTCAGATCCATTGGATAAGTGGATTGCTCTCAGTTTATGTTTGAACTTTGCAAAAATCATAACCGAAGTTATACAACTCCGATTGAGACATAAAATATGTCATTGGAAAGCTTGAGATGTCTAGTTTAACATATTAAAATCTTAGAGTATTGGGATAGTTTTCTGGGAAGAAAAGTATTCGGATACCTTGAAGAAGTAGTCGAATACTGGGTAGTATTCGAATACTTGTGTATGTGGTATTCGGATACCTTGTGTGTGACACCCTCCCCTGTATGCATCCAAGGGAAGTGTCTGCTAAAACCGATTAGAGTCGCAACGTTATCGTATAAAATTCTTATTCTGTAAAAACATTTTGATGATACCAATTAAAATCTCGCTTGGAAAACTGACTTCGTAAAATAGAATCAACAAGTAAATTTAAAAAAAAAACTTTCGCTGCGCAACTCTGATTTTTCTTGAAAACAGTGTGCAACTCAAAAATAACATAGCTTGTTGAAATACTAATTTTCCTGTAAACCTGTCTGTCTTGCAAAAATCATAATAAATCGAGTTTTAAAAATTTCATTATAAATTTTATATAATCTGAAACTAGACATGTGGGGCTTCAGGTGCATATAAATTATAGCCCATTCGGAGTCCTGTAGCTCCTGAAACAGAACTCGCAAAGTACTAGATAATTCAGTGTATTTTTCCAAAAACCTCCTGACTTGTAAAAATCATAATAAATCGGGTTGACAAGCTTTTAATATAATCTGTGTATAATCAGAAAGTACACGACTGGGGCATTACATACATATAAATTATACCTCAATCGGAGGTCTGTAGTCTCAGAACGATAACTCGCAAGGTGCTCGCTAAAACAGTTCAAAAATCCGAATTTACATACAGTAGATTTTGGTTTGACATTTTAATATCCAGAATCACCTAAGTTGAGACGGAATATATAAATCATATCACAACTCTTTTCAAAACAGATTATCCATCATAAAATGCCATTCTTAAAAGCTACATCAAGGCTGAATATACAATATGCATCAAACAGTAACATCAATTAAACAACAGGATTTCCCAAGCAGCAGAACTTAAACAAAACATTTCCATGAAATCACGTCATCAAACACTTCTACATCCTCCTGCAATTTATAAAAATTGAGCCCCCGAAGGGGTGAAAAAAATCCCAGTAGTGTGGCAGAAAATCCAGCAATGCAACAATGTTAATTTAAATACCGAATTTCCAAAATTGTCACATCATCAAATAATTCCAGAACAGATTCCAAGATATAATCAAAGTGCGTATATAACGCCAAATTACTAATCAAAGTGTGTATATAACGCCAAAGTACTAATCAAGGTGCGTATATAACGCCAAAGTAATGTACGTTCATAGCACTGCAGTGCACGTACTAACAAGCACAATGGAGATTCCATAGGTGGCTCCTCAAGAGGATTCCAACTGCGACCTATGCGGACTGAAGCCAAGTGTCCCATACCCTGGTACCGGAGGGATGCCTATATGATGCGTGCTCAAACGTATGCTTACTTTTATTATATACTCGGTTTCCAAGATGAATGCATAATGTTGTATGCCATGACATGATTGACTTCACACATACCCGACCCAAATGCAATTTTATGATGTTCATGCGTATGACTAGATATCAGAATCATAATTTATATATATATATATATAACTATGACGACAGAATCCGAGCCATAGTGTATATCCAACAAAATTCCAACAGTTCTTATTTCAAATCAATCATCATATTCAAACAGAAATTCCAACAGTTCTTGTTCCAACTTATTCATCATATTCCAGTAGAAATTACAAATCACATTATAATCACCTTCAACAGCATCAAAACAGAGCACGAGAGCAACAAATCAAAAATTCAAGTATTAAACTAACAGTCACAAAGGGGTAATCCACCGAACACTTACTTACCTTGACACTTTAGCTTTTTAATCAAGCATTCCAAATATCAGCAAACAGTCCAATTATTTAGGACCTTGCGCACCTAAACAAACATATACACCAAATCAGAACTTATTACATTCATTCCTCTACGTTACATAGCTTTTTTTTTTACATTCTCCTAAATCCTTGGTTCACCATCGGTTTCATGGTTCTTAAATCAAATTAATATACTGACTTAAGTTTGCATTACCATATGTTCTCAAGTGACATAATCCAAAGTAACTTACACATGCATATTCGGTATATAGTTATAAATTAAGTGCTAGGATTTTTATTTTATGTCTCTTACCCATTACTCACAATTTCCATTCTCCTTAGTACTAT